TGTTTTTTTTAAACACTTTTATAATAATGCTGAAATTATTCAAGTTAAGGTTGATTAAGTTTAATTTGAACTTACCCGTCTGTCGTTTTGTCTCACGGTGTCAGAGTCACAATAAGCTGATCCATCATGAAGTGGATACGCATCTTCTATCACATGTTGCTTCAGTAGCTTTGATAGTCCGGTTTCTTCCGGGTCCATGCCAAACTGTGCACGTTCTAACAAGTGATTTATGATCAATATCCTATCTGCACTAGTGAATGTGCTGGGAAAAAATCAGATTGAAAAAATTTCAACAATTGGTCATAAATAAAGTTGTCCTATTTTGACGATTTTTTAAACCAAAGTTGAAAACTTTATACTAATGGTATTGTGGAAAATAAATACTCTGCGGACTAAAGTCCTGATCATCATTAAGTTATGTATCTTTATGCAGTATGCATACTGCATACAACAGTATACTGTTTGCATTTATATAAACTTTTCGTTTATTTTCGTCTCCGGAATATTTGTCTAAAGGTAGTCCACTCCCTCATTTAGGCAAATAACTAACAAAATTTGAGCTATATTTTAAATGTCACGTTATCTAACGCATCTAAAAATAAAAAAACAATAGTGTAGTAATTACCCTCGCTTTTTATGAGGAACGTATAAATTTGTTTTTAACCATCTCAAGAATCTAGGCGTTTTAGTTTTATAAACCAGCGGCACTTCTAAGCCTATATCGTAGATTTTCGAGTAGGTTTCCAATTGTTCTTGGGGGATGTGGATTATCAAAAATAATTTATTTAGATCCTAAAAACGGTAATTTTTCGATAAATTTATATTTAACTAATCTACTCGATACTACCGGTCTTCGATTAGCTTCTAGTTCAAGCCCGAGCTTCTCCAGAGACCTGACATAATTTCTTAAAGCTGTGGATATGTCAGTGATCACGAGGGCGTAATCTGCTCTTCGTTTGCAGTCACGGAAAAAACACCCATGTTCTTCTTCTACCACGGACACCATTTTTAGTATAATCGATTAGATATTTCATACAATGACAGGCTTTTGACTGCGTCATAATTGTCTAAATATTGCGTCAAAATGAGTTAGCCTGGATCCACATGCATGCGTGATCAGTGATCACGGATCCATTTGTCACCACGTTATCATCAGTAAACCGACTTGACACTCCGTCAAGGTCAAAACGGATTGGATGTTGAAGGTTACGTGGTTACAATGGATACGTCCCCAGCACAGTCTAGAAAAAATATGTCTTTTTGCAATTCGGATTTCGTAAAATTTTTCGAAAAATCCGAAACTGCGTTGAACATTTTTGCATTTTCCTGCACTGTCGGCGACAGTTACGCGCTTGATTACCTGCACTGTCAACATTGTCTGGTACGACAATCGGGGCTTTATAAGAGAATTCCAGTTTTCGAAACATGCGTGAAAATATGTTTCGCCGCCCTACGCCTTTCGATGTGCTGAGTAGGCCGTCTGTGGTTCTTTCTGAGGTTTAGAGGGAATTGCGCTTTTTGAAGGGTTATCGAATTTTTTTCAGAACATGGATGAAAATTCTAAATCCGTTCCTAAAGTGTCGACGTTGATCAATTCTGTTCAGTAGCAGAGCAAATGAATTTTTTTATGTTATATATGTACAGGCTTGCACAAAAGTATGGAAACCCCTGAATAACTTGTCAGGAGTGCATTTTCTTGAAAAATAATAATTACAAAAGTTTTAGGATTTTTCCCTGGCTATTCAATGGCGTCCTTGTATTCGACCTCGACCTTGACTTTCAAGGTCATTTCAAGGTCAAAATTGATTTTTCTGCGAATTTGGAAAGAGCAGGAAATTTTACGTCCAAAAATGGTCTTGACCATGACTTTGACAATGAACTTCAAGGTCAAATGTGGGTCGACTTCCAAAAATCCCGGTACGGCAGAACTTCCGAATAATGCATTTTGGGAAAAAATGTTTCAAACAAAAGTGTAAGGATTTTTCCCTGGCTATCTTAAGGTGACCTTGGATTTGACCTTGACTTTGAACTTCAAGGTCATTTGAAGGTCAAGTTAAGTTTTTTAAATGGGAACCCCTGTTTTTTATTGCGGATTTGGAAAGAGCAAGGTCATTGTCAAAGTCATGGTCAAGACCAAGTTTGGACGTAAAGTTTCCTGTTCTTTCCAACTCCGCAATAAAAAATAGGGGTGCCTATTTGAAAAAACAATTTTGACCTTGAAATGACCTCGAAGGTCAAGGTCAAAGTCGAATACAAGGGCGCCATTGAATAGCCAGGGATAAATCCTAAAACTTTTGTATTTATCATTTTTTCAAGAAAATGCACTACTGACGAGTTATTCAAGGGTTTCCATACTTTTGGTGGACTTAATTTATTTTTGTTACAGAACTTTAACAATCGACAGAAGATTTCATTCTAAGAAATGAAGTCATTCAAACATAGACTATAAAAAAATATGTTTGTATGAACTTTTTCTGTATCAACTGTTAAGCGTTAAGCTAAGCACTGTGAAATAAATTTCACTCAAATTCACTCAGTTTTTTACTCAATAATGTATCAATTTCTGTCGACACCCGATTGAGTGAAATTTTCACTCTACTACTCTAAGTACAACTAAAATTTTATGTGAAACTATTGTAACAGAAGTGAGTGAATTTTACTCAAATCCGAATTTCTGCTAACTATCAAGTGAGTGACTTTTGACTCTGTTCTGTTAAGTAAGTATGTAAAACCAATTAAGAGTTGACTTTTTCTTTAATATGATTTAAATTTAACTATGTATTATTGAGTAATTTCGTATTTTGAAAATTTCCAAGGGGTCGGTTGGTTCCAAATCCCCCTAGTACCAGCCGCCGCTCTTTCATTTCATTAATATTTGGATTGGTTTTGCACCACTATATCCTCTTTAAATTTTAATTTAAATATCATTGTATTAAAGTCATAAACTACTCAGCTACCGCAGTGGTTTCTACACAGATCTGTTTTAGGGCAATATTTAAGGTCACGATTAAAGGAATTAGTTAACTGATCGGCCGAATATACCTATAACCTATATTGTACGTTACAGATACATAAATTAGAATAGGTAACAATTTAACTATGCGTTTATTTAAGCAAATATTAATCGAGACTCAATATATTATTGTTTTTAATTAATTAAACATTTAAACATACATACATAAACATAAGCATTTAAATATAATTTTCATTAAAATAATCGGATGGGAATAGACAAAGACAACACACGACAACCATAGAATGAGACGGGGTCACTCAATAATGAGGACATTTACTCCGATTTAGCTACAAGTGTACCAAATAAAAGTTTACTGCAGAATTTATTTAAAGGGTACCTATAATTGAGTAAAATTGTCAAAATAATCAATATTGAGTGAAAATGTGCTCAATAATTTCACTCAGTGGATTCACTCCGTATCTTTGTTGCTTTCACTCACACCGATATCTCCCAATACAAAAAACAATACAGTAATGAGAGACTCTATTTGTTCTACACCTACACAGAGATTAGTTGTCATTTTTTAGAGACGGAGAGAAGGTTTTCAGTTTTCACTATTTAGAATTCAAATATTATTCTGGGGCAATAAGTTTAAACTTGTACAGACACGCTCAAGTTAGTATCTACTCAATGTACACAGCTGTTGACAAAATATTTTCGGACAGTGCTCAATTCCATTCTTTTGGAACTCGTGATAGATTAATTGTAAGTTCTCGGAACGGATGGGTCAACTCAGTCAACAATAATTATTGAAAAGTTAAGGGTTTTAAAGTAGGTTTAGCGTCGCCATAAAGTCGTTAAGAAACTGGTGCCTCTTGTCACCGGGAGTAATAAATTTGCAAATTTCGACCATCGCAGTCCTTGAGAGAAGGCCTCATGAAATTTAGCAATGATTTTCAACAAATAGACTTAGATGGTCGGGGCCACGTGTTGGGTTGGGCATCTGGTATCGATACTAATTGCATCGATTTAGCCCATGGTAAAGGGAAAAAAATCGATATTTCTATTAACGCGCGAAATACATTCGAAAAGACGTAGGAAGTCCAAGATATTTAAATAACTTATTAGAATGTTGTGAAGAAAATAATAATAGATCAAATAGCTGTTTTTATGCGGATTTTCAAAGCTATAAGAATAGATTAAATGCGATTGACTAATACGTCCAGTGTTGCTATACGCAGTGACAAGAGGAACGTGTAGGGTTACTTGTAAGTACAGTTTAGTTACAAAATTATCCAAACAATTGTAAATACAATCAATTAGGTATTAACATGATATAGTTAAGCCATTTCAACCCCCGATATTCAGGAAGCCCTCCAATATGATAAGAACCGAAACTTCTGTACCCAAGAAATGGACGTGTCGAAGGGAGGTGTCGAATTCAGGAGAGATCTCCGAAAAAAGTCAGTTTCTCCTTGGGTTCCACACTGAGCAGTTATCATAATTTTAGAATCTCGGATTAATTTGATGATGGATAAAGTCTTTCCAAATTTTGCTATGAATTCGCGTTGGGTTCCCTGAATCTCGGATTGCGTTGTTACGTGTAAATTAATGAATAATGTTTGTTCGAATCCGTTGTGTCTTTGTTATTTTGTTCGTTTTGTTTTATTATTATTAAAAACCTTCCTCGAAGTTTTGGTGTCTTCTTGCTCTTCCAAATTAAGTGTCTATCGAGTGAGAGAGTGAAACACCCTGTACAACCAACACCTGGATGTACGTGAGCGACGTACAGTAAGTGTCTAAAATTCATTCTCTGAACGTACACTATTTCTAAGTTCCCACGTATTAATTAAAGTGTAGATGATAAATATAAACTCCCTTTCGAGAAGTAAATGGTAAACTCTACTAGTTTTGCATACATACTTTTTGTGTATATATAGACAACTAATTTAAATACCAAACAATTAATCTTTTATTAAACATATTTCACAGTGTATTTTATGCACACTGAAAATACTCCGTTGAAAGTAAATTAATTTAAAAATTATAACATTATCCAATCCGTAGTGTCTGTTGTTCCTCTCTTTCTTTCTTCCATGTGTATTGTATCACTTATTGTTTTCAGCTTCGCTTCCTTTACTAGCTGTCTTTCAAGGTGCATATGTTCTTTCACAGTTTTTGGAATATCGGGTATCGCGTACGAAAGGATTCCAGTTAATACCAGGATTACGTGCTGAAAAATGGAAAATCTGTCAAATTTAATACCAATTATTAATAAAATTTCGAGGTGAGTAATTAAGATCACGTTATATTTTTAGATGGTGTTAGGAGATATCATTAAAGATTTGCAATGAAATAGAAAACATATTTTTTCTGTAATCTCTTCATAAAAAAAAATTACCTCGAAAACGAACACGCAAATTAATCTATAAAATATGTCCACCCAATGATCAGTGGTGTACTCGTACTTCTGTGGGTGATCCGGAGGATGTCGCTTGCCGTAGTAGTAACAAACTTCTGGTTTTGGTGGTATATCTTTGAATAATTCATAATCTTGGGTGGCAAAAGCTAAAACACCATAAAGTACCATTAAGTGTTACTTTTCTACTACCTTGTAGAGGTCGTTAGCTACAACAAGTGACATTTCTTAAAACAAAACTGAAAATTATTACTAAAAATGAAGTTGGTTATACGAGGTCTGTTCAGAAAATAATAGACCTTTATTATTAATTTTATACATTATTGGTTTTTGTTTCCTTCAAAGTACTCCCCTCCCCTATTCGCACACTTAATCCCAACGATCTTTCCATTTCGCGAAGCAGTTTTTATAGCTTCATTTGAAATAGCCTTTAGTCTGTGAAAATTTTGATGTCATCATTAGTCTGAAAATGGTGTCCATTCAGCACTGATTTTAATTTCGAAAATGAGAAAAATTCGCGAGTGAGGAGGGTGAGGGATGACAGAAATCTGATTTTTGGCATAACACTGACGAATTAACGAAGCCGAATGTGATTGTGCAGGCGCATTGCCATGGTGCAAGAACAAGAACCATGAGTTGTCCCGTCACAACCATTCCATTGTCGTCGTAGTCGTAAACCCTGCTTTCGTTTCCCGTTGTAATCCTTTCATTACCCTTGGATTGAATTGTTCAAGGAGTTGCCGACACCATTTTCTTCTTGGTCGGTCATCAAACAAGAAACAAATTTGGCTGCAACTCGATGCGTGTTCAATTTTTCAGTCAGAATTTCATTGCATAACCCAATTGAGATGCTAACCTCTTCTGCAGATTCTCTGACAGTCAATCGACAATTTACACGCACCAGGTCTTTGACTTTCTAAACTTTGGAGTTATCAGTTGAAATCGAAGGCCTTCCTCGTCGAGGTTCATCTTCAACTGACTGACAACTACTTTTAAATCGTGAAAATCATTCGTAACATTACGTACGACCCAGAGCATCGTCGCCGTAAGCTTATTTCAAAAATGTTTCCGTGAAAGTTTTCCCAGTTTCACAAAAAATTTTGCGTTCGTCACTAACACTTAAAAACGTTACACTCAAATAACAATATCACGAAATTGTATATGCCTAATGCGGACTCTAAGGAGACTGCAATAAAAAGGATTATATAGTGGATTAGGCTAGGCCCCAAACTCCGGGTCTGAATCGTTCTTACTGCACCTCAATAAAAACAAATTGATTCTTAAAGGTACGGTAGCCGCGTGCTTGCATAGACTTTAGAAATGTAATGCAGGTATGCCACACTTTTATTACCGGTACTTTATGATCTGCTGGATATCGATGCGACGGGCGCAGAGCAGATGATATGCATGTGCACGTTTTCACGGTTCCCCATGCACACGTGTTTATCGTACATATCATTCAACTTTATACATTATATTTATATTCTGGTTATTATTATGTTAACTCTATTAATAACATTTTATGAATAAATGATGTTTTTCTACAAATTTTTGCATCTTGTTCTTATTTGAAAAGTAACGATTGTAAAAACCGTATTTCACAAAAGAACTGAAAAATGTTTTGTATTTTTAATTACGCATTTATAAAGCAGTGTATAAAAATCAAGATTTTATTTGAATGCAAGTTAAGAACAATTGCCAAGACAATCCACGTATAGCTGCTCTACACGGGCATATTGTCCAGGTAAGAACGATCAGAGCCGGGATTTGAAGCCTAGCCTGGTCCACTATAATCCTTTTTATTGCAGTCTCCTTGGAGTCCGCATTAAGGCTTACAAAATTATTTTTAGAATAAAAGTAAGAGTAGTGGCTATAAATCAGATAAGAGTGCGTATTAATTTGTATATCAAAGCAAACTTGTATGAAAAAAATCGAATAATTTTTGGTAATAATAAATTTTTTTATACATAATTAAATTAAGGTATACCCTATTTTTTTTATAATTTGTTATTTCAAAGAAACGTCGAGTAATGTACGTATTGCAGCATACCTACTGCATATTATTCAATTTTTTTAATTAACAATTTTGTCGTTTATAACAGTAACTTAACAAAATTAATTGAAAAATGTTACATGAAAAAAATAAAATAAACAGTTACCTAAACATAAATATTCCTTACTTTTTGAAAAATATATTATATGAGTTTATTACATAGAAAATATAGTTACTACTTAGTACTATATGTTCTATGGTTTATTATAAGTGCACGGTTTCAATCGTTCAATATGCATTTCAACGCCAATGCAGCCAACTTAAATTTCTAGTCAAACTTGCTTTAGTGTGAGATAGCATGTTTGTTTCTTAAAGATCTAAGCTAGCATATTTTCCAAGCTTAATTTGAGGTAGCATCTTTTCCAGTTACAATTTTAGATAGCAGGTTTTCCAAGCTAAATTTGAGGTAGCATGTTTTCGTAGTAACGCGTCGATTGTGGTTACAGAGGAGGTTATACGCAAAGCAATGCTGCCAACCGCATTTCACTAAATGTCTCCAATAGCGCATAATTCAAAAAGTTATTATTTTCTGAACATACCTCATATATAATAAGAGACTGTTGGTACTTTGTTTATGTTGTATTAATTAGTAGCGGAGGTATGCATTTTCTGAAAAATTACATTTATACATGATCATTTCTATAAGGAATTGCTATAAAAAGTTTTGGAACATAAGAAACGGTGAATATCATGGCCCGAACTAGATTAATGACCATCAAATATCGACCGAAGAGGAGAGTTACAAAGGTTGCGGTACTTCTAGTATGACCATGAACTCGCGATCCCCGACAATGAAGTAAGGTTTCATGAGTTAATAAAGTTGGGATTATATTCTAAAATCTATGAGAGATGTGTTCTTTAGGACAGCCAGTATTGCCAGGTGTGTGGGAAATTCCCGTTTTGGCGGGAATTTACGACGGTGGTGGAAAAACGGGAAATTTATTTGAAATGGCGTGAATTATGATAATATGGCGAACGTGTACACTGTTCAATGGTCTAAGGATGATCCGTCCAACAGTGCTCCGTGGTCCGTGCTCGTCTAAATTCGTTTCTATGATAAACGCGCGCTGTCATATCGTCAGATGTCATTTGTTTGTCTAGTTTGTCAATTTGACCTACAGATGAACATTTGAAAATGTTCAATCAAGAAATATATAACTTAAAATAAAAAATTAAATACTTCCATGAAAAATGTGAATTTATAGTTTTATGTTTTATATATTTATGTACCTACGTGTATATTTTGTTAAAAAAAATCTACCTATTTTAAGTTAGGTAACTACCTACAAATGTTTTTATTGAGCTGTTTAATTGTTGACATTAAACAATTCTAATTCTAATGAACCTGCTTTTTTATATTTTCCCTTTAGTAATCAACATTCAGAAGAAAATTTACCTTGTATTGTATTGTGAAAAATTTGGCGGGAATTTGGCATTTAAAGCGAGAATTTTTTAATGTATTGTGGGATATTTTTCTTTACCAACCTGGCAACACTGGGGACAGCCCACTTTAACACCTCGCAGCGAACAAACCTTTCTCCTCATTGAACTTTCACTTTCTACCACTATCTACCCAATTATGCAAATTCAATAAAACAAAATTTTCAATCTTCTATTTTGATAATTAATTACTAATTTAATTATGTCCTAAATATGATGATGACCACAAAGTCGTGGACTTAAAATAGGCAGATTTAGGCTAATTTATCTATACCCGAAATCGCTTCGTTTGGTCGCTAGATGGCCTCAAAGTTCGTAAACATTTTTTGAGTTTTGCAAATAACTCGAATACGGATTATTCGATTTTGATTATTTTTGAGGTGTGTACTTCTGCTTTCAATCTACAAATTATGGTGTTATACAGAGTATTTTTTAAAACTTACAACTCCTACAAAATTGATGTATGTTGATAACTTTTCCCTCTTTCGGGAAATAATTACAGCAATTTTTTATTTGATAGGTGATAGCATTTGGAAGTTTTTAGGCCTCCTGTAAAATTTTGATTAAATGGGCGGTTTGGGTACAAAAAAATATTTTTTAAATGTATATATTATCTTGCCACTCATATTACAATACTTAACAGAGTGCTAGTAGACTCAAATTTTGTAGGTTGACTGTAATTTCAGTTTAATTTTTAGGTCATTTTACCTGCCAATTCTGTTTTACTAGAAACGGAATAATAAATATTCACGATGATTATGTGTATACTCTAGAAAATCCACATGCTCTCAAAGTGAAACATTATCAGTATGAATTGTACATCAATGTTTGGTTTGGGATCATTGATAGCATTATTATTGACCCTGTTATTCTACCCAATAGACTGAGTGGGGAATTTTATTTAGAATTTTTATAGAACTCGAGTTATTGGAAGATGTGCCGTTATTACTCAGAGCTAACATGTGATTTATGCACGATGGCGCTTTACCACATTTCACTGTAAATGTCCGGCAGTATCTGAACTAAAGATTCCCTCGTTGATGGATCGGTAGAGGGGTTCCTGTTAACTGGACTATAAGTTCAGCAGACTTAACATCTTGTGACTATTATTTTTGGGGCACTCTGAAAACAACAGTGCATGCTTCCACATCTAACACTGAAGAAGACTTGTGGAGGCATATCCAAAATGCCATAAATTTAAAAAATATCCCTTAAGAACTGCAAGGGTGTTTTTTAACTTTCTTCGTTTTGTTGTAGAAACAACGGTGGTAATTTTGAACAGTTTTTATAATAAGTTGTACTAAATTTAATAACATCAACTTTGTTACTTTTATCTCCAGCATTTTTTATTTTATTTGATTGTTTCTACGAATTATTTCAATAAAATTGGGCACGTTGTAAATAATCCTAATCGTCGAATGTGTGTATCGATATCGAAAAATCAAGTAACTAACGTGATATATTTTATCGTAGTAAACACTCAGTCAATCTACAAAATCAGTGACTACTAGCACTTTAATTATAATATGGGTGGCAAGATAATGTAGACATTTAAAAAATATTTTTTTGTACGCCAATTTTGTAGGAGTTGTGAGTTTTAAAAAAACACTCTATATAAGTAACACCTAGATTGAAAGCAAAAGTTCACACCTCAAAAATAATTTCGGATATAGGTAAATTAGCCTAAATCTGCCTATTTTGAGTCCACGAATCTGTGGTTTTCCGTTGTACATGTTATTCTGGGACACCTCAGGATTTACAAATTTTAGCCTTAATGTGACAAATGAAATAAAATAGTTGACAGTGAAACGTGGGTATGAGTTTTTTAATCATTTATTTTTTTGTAAATTATAAACGTAAGAATGACTCCTGAAGACTTACCAGATAGGGAAGAATTAACAAATCCTCTGAGATAAAAATTATACCTACGTTTATATACTTCTCTCCAGACAAAATCGCTAGTAAATGCTATCACAAATGCCTAGAAAATTCACTGTAAATAAAATCAAGCCAATAATATACAATTTCAATGAAAGCACATCTAAAATTAAACCAGTAATTTCTGATGGTGCGTCCACATTGCTCATGATCCTGCTCATGCTTCTGCTTGTGATCGTGCTTGCGCTATTCTATGTTACGAGCATTTGCTACTATATTTGTCAACAATATTCTGCTCGCAGAAATGGATATTCTGCATGTATCTCTGGTCTTTGAGCTAGCTGATTAGGAGAGGATGGGTGTACCATTTATAATCGCTATCATCAGCATTGCCAGAGTTGCCAAGGAAAAAGATCTTTAAACATCGCACGGATTCAGTAAGATAGAACTACAAAAGCGTATAATTTTGTAATAACGAAAATAGGACTGCGAAATGTAATGTTGCGAACATAGCAAACACGGTTTTTGTATTTTTAGTGCTGAGCGCTGTATTTCTTGCTCTTGCTGGTTTATTTTGGTTGCTTCTGAGTAATGTGGACGCATCTTAATTCATAATTTTTGTTCTTACGTTTGTTACTGTGCTTAAGTACGTAACACCTAGTAGCACTCCGTTCCAGGCGCCAATTCCGCCCATTTTCCTAGGAATGGGCCTTCTGTATTTAGTCACTAATTTGTTGGCGTCCAAACGGTGCTCTAGAAGATTATTTAGAAGAGCGCAGAGAGGGGCCAAGGGGAAGGCGGCCACGAAGAACGTCACGAACCCGAATTCAATAACTGAAAAATTATTTGAATGTCCCAAAAGCATAATCAATATTTTAAAAAAATGACATACAAGTTTTGTATGTAACTTATGAGTATATGTACAAGATGCAGATTTTTTTACATACAATAGGAGCATAGTTCCAGGGTAGCCTTAACAAAAACAAATTTTGTACTTCTTGAAAAAACTGTTTTCAAAATAAAAATTCGACTTGTAGGAGTGACATTTTCTATAATTACACAGGTCAACATTTGATCTAAGCGGGAACACCGTAATCGGTATAGGCTACAAGGGGTTTTTGGGGTCGCTGATTACGATGAGAGGGTCAGTTAACCTCTATCACGTCAGGTTCAAGGTCATTTGAAGGTCAAATGCAGAAAAAGCCGTGAAAAAATCTGAAAAAAATCATGGATATTTCTTTGAGATCGGACAATCCGAACCTGAGGTCAGCTAAGCTCCACAAGATCAAGGTCAAGGTCATTTGAAGGTCAAATGTAGAAAAAGCCATGAAAAAATCTGAAAAAATCATGGATATGTTTTTGGGGTCCGAAAATCCGAATCTGAGGTCAGCTAAGCTCCACAAGGTCAAAGTCAAGGTCATTTGAAGATCAAATGCAGAAAAAGCCATGGAAAAGTCTGAAAAAAATCATGGATATGTTTTTGAGATCGGAGAATCCAAATCTGAGGTCAGCTAAGCTCCGCAAGGTCAAGGTCAAGGTATTAGAAGGTCAAGTTCAAAAAAAAATTTTAACCGATAACATTTTTTAGTTGTTATTCTTCATATTTTTTATATAAACCCTTACTTCTTACTTGTGTCTATAAGCAACTGTTTTACAAGATTTATACTCATTTCACGCACTTTCGCTCGAAATGTGGAACTCACTCACTCATATATCACAGATAAGTAACAAAACTACTTAAAGTACTTTCGCTTGAATCATCGCGCTTATTCAGTTACATATCACTGATCCGACAATAATACCGTAAAATCAGTATATCGAAGAACATTTTCTGCGGGTGATATGTGGCTACCGTTCTATCTCGTATGAGGTTACATGCTTACTAGCAGAAGAGGCATCTATATAGCTACTAGTAAAAGAAATAACAAACAATTTCCGTTGAAAGCAACCAAACTATCAAAATGGAGATATCCTAGGAAAAGAAGAAAAGACCCAGACCATGAATCTACGGCAAATAGGATGAAAGGAATCACCTAATGGAAGAGGGATGCACCGATTGATTAAAGTTATCGGTAGCTGGTGTAGAAGAGCACATGGCGAAGTTCATTTCTTCTGAACACAGTTGGAAGAATAGAGGATCCAGAGAATATGATTGAAGTGATGTCTTCGCCAACAAATTAGTCAGCTGATCAAGTTTCGCAGCAACTGCAATAAAGAAACTGAGAGCAGAAGAACGCAGAAGAGCGAACGTGTAGAATAGGCATTTATCCTATCTTCACTTCGAAAAGTAATGCTTGACGGAGGTTCAGCGGGGTGGTTTCAAGAAAGGAAGAGAAAAGTTTGATTTGACTTATAGCTTTTGATTCTACATCGGCCAAGTTTCCCACCGATGTAGAGCTACGGTCGCATGATGACGACGCCTGCGAGCCCGCTTTCCCACCCTGACCAGCCGCCGATTCTGGGTCTAAACCCTGTCTCGTAATTTGTTTATGTGCGGTTGCCATGACGGCATGAAAGCCATCACCCAGGGACTTCGCCGGATAGTGAAACAACTCCGTTGCCCACCGTCACCGCGTGGAGGTGCCCTGAGTCCAACCACACATAAATTTTCATGTACGAAACCGGAATTTTATGAGCCTTGCTACTTTGCCTTACTAGGGTTTAATAAAAAAGTACCATATTGCAAAAAAGTAACATTACAGATCACACTACAAATCAAGCTTGAGCTCACAAGTGAAGCATAAAAGGTAGCTAACAGTACCATGACGCTAAAAGTAAAAAAGAATTGACACAGCTCCCAATAAGTATCCTCAGAAGTAACTTGTATATTCTAGACGTAAAAACGTCTGGATTCATCTTAATCCAGCATCATTTTTTCAGATTTTTTCAAAAATTACTTCATTCCTTAACCTTGACCATTTGGAACTTCAAAGACCTCAGATTCAGATTTCCTGGCCCCAAAAACATAAGTATGATTTTTTTCACATTTTATCATGTCTTTTTCTGCATTTCACCTCTAAATAACCTTGACCTTGACCTTGTGGAGCTTAGCTGACCTCAGATTCGGATTCCTCGACCTCAAAAACGTTTCCATGATTTTTTTTCAGACTTTTCCATGTCATTTTCTGCATTTGACCTTCAAATGACCTTGACTTTGACCTTGTGGAGCTTAGCTGACCTCAGATTCGGATTGTCCGACCTCAAAAACATATCCATGATTTTTTTCAGATTTTTTCATGGCTTTTTCTGCATTTGACCTTCAAATGACCTTGACCTTGTGGAGCTTAGCTGACCTCAGATTCGGACTGTCCGGCCTCAAAAACATATCCATGATTTTTTCAGATTTTTTCATGGCTTTTTCTGCATTTGACCTTCAAATGAGCTTGACCTTGTGGAGCTTAGCTGACCTCAAATTCGGACTGTCCGGCCTCAAAAACATATCCATGATTTTTTCAGATTTTTTCATGGCTTTTTCTGCATTTGACCTTCAAATGACCTTGAACCTGACGTGATGGAGGTTAACTGACCCTCTCATCGTAATCAGCGACCCCAAAAACCCCTAGTAGCCTATACCGATTACGGTGTTCCCACTTAGATCAAATGTTGACCTGTGTTATCGTCTGTTCGCTTACCTATTAGGACATATTTTATTAAATCTTCGCCTTCCACTTCTTTATAGACACTATTAATTTTGCAATATTTGTTACGGATACACAAATATCGGTACTAATTGTAAATATAAACGCTGTGACGGAATGAGTTCTGAATTTATTAACAAAAAATGTCTGTTAATATTCCTGGAGCTATTAAATACAAGTACCTACTAATTTATAAAATCAAAAATATCTCCCCAACCTTTTTTGTTATTCATTTTGTGTATTTTGTTTCGAAAAGCTGTATACGAAGACTGACAAAAAAGTTAATACCTACATATCTTTATTCCACCAACAGAACTATAACAAAGGGTGACCGTATGAGGCTGTTGGGTGTGACACTGGATGATGGCCTGAATTGGACAGGTCATGTTGAATATCTGTTGAAGTCGCTACCAAGTACCATTTTTTAATTAGACAACTAAAACCCGTAGTTAGTCAGAACACTCTAATTTTCACCTATTTTGCTCTGTTTCACTCCCGCTTGTGTTACGCGGTTGCATTGTGGGGAAATTCTAGTCAGTCACACAAAATCTTCTGCATACAAAAAAAAAAGGAATTAGAGTGATAGCCAGACAGCATTGCCAACAGTACTTCATTGCTTTAGGCATTTTACCTTTGCCTTGACTATACATTTATTTTACACTTATTGAAATACATAAACATATTGACAACTTTCATCATCTGTCAGATATACATAAGTATAACACAAGAGGCTGTAATACAATTAGAGTGGACTGCTACCGACTTAAAAAATCAAAATGTAATTTACTGGAAGTGGGGCTTTACAATAGGTTGCCACTGTCTGTTACACAATTAAATTTAACTTGTTTCAAAGCTGAAATCAGAAGATTTTTACTTAAATACTGTTTTTATTCAGTACAGGCTTTTAATAATACTCATTATGAGTAGGATATGTATGTGCTGTAGGGTATGTTTGTGAGTAGTTAATGTTGATAATATTGTATTGCTGTTTTCATACTATTATTGTTATTGTTGTATTAGAAGTAAATATTTTGTACACTTGACTTGCCGTAAATGTATGACAATATGTAAAATGGTCAAATATATACTATCTATCTATCTAAAGAACAACATTGCCTGCAGAGGGCTCCCACACGCGACAGCCAATATCTGAAAAATCTCTTGCTAGAAAATTTGAAACAGGCCTGACTAGAAATTATTAAAGAAAAAACATTTTTTATTTTTCACTTTGACACCCTGTATTTTTTTTATTAGGTATGCAACTTGGGTATATTAGGTTAAGGTGGCCATAGCCCTGGCCGAGAAATAGTAAAATTTCTGGCGTTTTTAGGTACTGAAATCTTGAAAAGTAAAACGTGTAGAACAAAAGTGAGCACAAAAATAAAATCCTTGATGTTCTGTTTATTCATTGTTATTATTTAAATTTATTCAAATAAAATAATAACTAAGAAAAGCGTTTGTAAAACATGCGTTTGCTGTTATCGTAACACCACATTTTAAGATTTTTTTGCACGTACTTATAAATAAAAATAAACAATTTTATATGTAGGACGAAGCAAGTAAATGTTATAAGAATCTTTACATGTGGAGTTGTATATAAAAAAGTTAATATTTTCGTAGATTTCAGTACCTAAAACCTTGATGGTTTGATCGTTTTTTGCACCTGTTTATTCGTTTTACTGCGGCGTCTTTGAAAATACCCAGATGGCATGACATAACATTCCTATTATTTGATAAGCTTTAGATTATTCAGTTATTAAATGTTTGAAATTATTTGTCTTTATGGAAAACACTATTTAAAAAATATGTCGCCCTTAAATCAAATTACTTTCACCTAAGGAATATCTTTGATATCATATGTGCCCCTTCATTTAAATACACCCTGTACAGTAAGTTCGAAAAATAATTTTATACAAAACAAATTACTTACTCATTTCACAAAATTCCGTCGTTAATAAATATCTATCGGTTGGTAACAATGCGTAGTCCCTCTCGTATATTGGTATATCCATCTCCTTTTTCCCCTTATACCCCCTGGACCTAGTCATGATATTACTGAAATATAAAATGTAACATTTCTTAATATACAGGGTCGCAAAGTCCCCATGGTTCATCGGCCGTTACGTGAGAGCGATAAAGTAACGGCCGATGAACCATGGGGACTTTCCGACCCTGTAGATAGAGCCTTCACAAGTGACTACAAGCCACGTGACCAGTAATTTTGTTGGAAACAGGATAAAATTGAAACAATAAGATCAAGATTGCGTTAAAACACAATATTCTCTTTCACTTGCTGGTGATTGGTGTAATTTTTCACGGGATTTTATTCAACCAATCAACGATAGCATTATGTCGAGTGTATATATAACGGTTTGTCATTGTTCATTGTAAAAAAATCATTAATATTGGTGCAACTAAGATTTAGGGATTTCTAGGTAACAGTACCATCCGCACAATGTTGGTTGCCTAAGCTCAGTGGTCTCGTGGCTTGTATACATTTATGAAGGTCCTGTATAATTACGTATCCTTATCCTTATATCTTATATTAATTCGTTTCAACTTAAGTTATGCACATTTCTAAAAAGTTTTATTCATTGAAATAAATACTTACAGCTTTATGAGGGTTAAAATATTTCCTGCAAGTTTTTTCAGCAATATCAGGAAAGCCAACTGAACGCACAACCATAAAATACAATTCGTGGATTGGCAAGTATCCGTTCCTATTAGTCTGAAGATATTTGTGCGAAAAGGTATACGATAAAACCGACCCTTAAATATTTACATAATATAGTAATTACTGTATTCCAGAGCATTTTTTAATCTGATAAAATTATTATATTTATTATGTGCATAGAAAATGTGATGTGCTATTCATTTCGCAATGTGTTTCCACCTCGTGTGTCGAATGCGGTTAATTCCAAGAAAGTGACGCAGGGGTGTTCTTGGAATTCTATCTCAACAAATATTCAAGTGAAGTTTACAAGTAAGGCATGTCCGTGCGTGTCATAAGCATACATAAGTGGGAAAGACGTACTAGTATTTTCATATTGTAGTTATTACAATAAATTTTGTTAAAAATGAAATCGCGTGCCACTGTTAGTGGCCAATCTGATAATCAGGGTAGTCGTGAACGACCTAATTTAACAGATCAAGGACATTGAATGAAAAACAGGAAATCAGAGGACGAAAAGCCGATATGTCAGTGAATGATATGGTGAAAATGTGCAGTCCTTTAAAAAAACTGTCAGAAGGGTTGTTAGTGTGTTAAAAAGTAGTAAAAATGTAAAAACGAAACGTGGTTGGAAAAAAAATTTAAATCGTCATTGACGTTAAATGCGAGATGTAGAAATTTTATTAAAAAAATGAACTTCCAGTATTAATGAAAATTCAAACTGTACTCACAGAAGACAAAGGTTTGTCTATATTGTCCCGAAAAGTTTCTGCGTGTACTATGCAAGAAATAAATTATCATTGTTTAAAATGAATTTGAAAAAGTATGCTAGTAGAAAAGAGCAAAATTGTAGTACAATTGAGATATTAGTTTTAAAAAAGTAATAGTGACGCATTAACCACAGCGTCGGCGTTAGGCAAGTGCACCGACGGTTCTTGTGAAAGAATGAGCCCATTGTATTTACATCGAAATTTGAAAAAAATTATTTTGAGCATTTAACGATATGCAATTTTAAGCATTCTTACAAATTAGCGCCTATTCCACAGTTTGCAGATATTACTTACCTGTAGGAACGCTATGTAGAATAGCGCAGTATAGTTGTTCACAAATAACAAAAAGTATCTTTTGTATAACACCGAATTGTCGAAGTCTCGTTTAGTCCTTGGGATCTCAAAAGTGGTTAACCAAATAGAAAGATCATCATACATCTACAAAAACAAACATAATCAAAATATAGCAAATAAAGCAATGTCAGAAGTAGTCCTTAACACTGTTTCCTGAACAACGAATGAAATATCTCTTTCAAACTAGTTATATTCTTTATTTAAGGAGGTTTAAATACTTAAATAAAATCATAGGTAAAATAATACAGTCACTAAATTCCTTACCATATCAAATATTTTTATAAATATGACTTGCAGTATAGAACCGGTAACTATAGCTGTGGCTTTGCCCCTATTTTTAAAAAATTCAATTGATCCTACACTTGCTTCAGCCTGGACAATTATTTTGTAGATTATTACGCCTATAGCAGCAATCAGAACTAACAGAATCTTAAACAAATTAATTAACAATATTCTAGTTTGATAGTCTATTAAGATAAAAGTGTAAAAAGTCATTCTTTATTATTTAAAAATACTAGAGAGTCGAGTTTATGTGGTCATATACAACCATATCGGCCATATCGAAGTACCGTACATAGTACTCTTGCACCATGTGCCTATGTTTCCAATACGCTCGGCAATAAGGTCAGTCAGCATTCATGGCTCGATTTTATCCACAACAGACACCTACAACATTCGTAACAGCTCTGCAAACCGGCAAAAGAATTCGAAAAAATCGCGGATGTTTCGAAGATTTCAAGCAAAGTTCCACAGACGACGCGATCTGCCTCATATCACGCCAGAGACCGCTATATCGCAGTGTGGAAAAATGGACAAAAGTCCGGCCGCGGCTCAATTCTTAACGTTTTTTAATTTCTTTTTGTTCCTCAACCTCAACCTCATACTTCTTCATTCCAAATCTATAAACACCAAACCCATAAACCATAACCTCATAAACCTAATATCCAAAAACCCTAGTTTGAGTTTATACGTTTGAAGTTTTAGGTGAATGGGTTTGGGATTTATTGGTTTTGGGTTATAGGTTTTAGAATATTAGTTTTGAATTTGTGTACAGATTTTGGGTTATGGGTTTATGGGATTATGGTTTATGGATTTGGTGTTTATAGGTTTGGAATGAAGGTGTGTGAGGTTTATGGGTTCAGTTATGGTTCGGTTACAAAATCGCGGATCTTTCGAAGATTTCGATATGCATTCGCCTCGGAAACCTCCACATCGATGTCGGCAGGCACACAAACGAGCGCTGTAGGCATCCGACATCGCCAAGAAGCAGTACACAAAATCTACTGTCAAGCCACCATGACGAGGAATACCACGCCGAGAGTTTTCCGTTCACACAAATCTTGATCGTGAACTTTCCACCTAAGTATTTCGAACTCACGATGGCGGAGGATCTCATTTGACCTTGTTGACGACTTAGTACCAAAGGTGAAAAAGGCCCAGGATATTACGATCCCTTCAATGCCATTATGAGGGTCACGGCACGATCATGATACTCAGAGAAGAGGCAATAGGTCATTTCCACCGAAAGCTAGCGGAACCGAGCAAAATTCGCGTCCTGGCGCCCGACGTGGGGCCACTACCGAGGACCGACATGGCGCACAGCTAGATGAAAACGCGACCTATTCGATTCCACGACATAACCATTGAATTAAATGCGTATGGTGCCGTGCTATGCGCGGTGCATCGTTATGATCGTTTTAAACTTGAAGAGGTACGGTGGCTGGAAGTTATTTACTGACAGTGGTAGACTCTTAGGTAGAAGAAAACCGCTATATTAAATCAAATTTTGCGCAACGAGCCAATTAAGTAAGTCTCAAACAATGACATTGCTGCTGCTGATATAAAACTGTCTACCACACCGAGGAATAAATTTCTTATTGAAAATTGTGGTTGTTAAAAACGAACATTGAACAAAATACTGTCATTATACCTTTTAAAAAAATATAAGTCTTACCATGAAAACGCAAACAGAAATCGTTGCAATCATGCGTGGCCACGTGACATATTTCGGCAAGAACGGTTCCAGCCCGCTTGATTTTGTTTTCAAATTTCTCTTTCTCAGTTCATCACGATACTCGTATCTGGAACATGTCTCTGTTATAGTCTTTCCGATAACAATTGAAAAACCAAAAGGTTGTCAGTATGTACCAGGTTCGGTCGCTGACAAAGCAACTCAGCATTGAAATATTTGAAAAACTTGTTCCCATATTTATTTAGCCATACCCATATACGGGTCTGGTCGATTTAATCGTGGAGGTTGTAGAAATGTATACGCCCAGTTGAAGAATGCGAATGCTGGCAAACGAAATACAAACACAGCTGCATTGGGCCACTGGGCAATAAATCTCAGCTATTGACAAGTGGTTGGCAAAGTGCAGTGCAGCAACGCGGAATTTGGTGTGATTCATGTAATTTTAATTTACTATAGGCACCTTCTATTAATTATTGATATTACAATTTCGAAAGGGAACAATAATATTATTACACGATGGCATTTTGGAGAACTTTTGAAACGGAACAAAACAAAATTTACCATCAATATAATAAAATTGCTTGAGGACATAAATAATTAAAATATATTGTTGGCCAAATGAATATATAATAGAAATTTTTTACACATCATATACAAATTATTATAATTTTGTACCTTTAGTAGAAAACTTTTTTAGAGACGCTTATGAAAGTCATTAAATTTTATTGTCAGGCATTTTTTACATGTTCAACTGACTTCGGAAAGACTGTACCTTGTAAAATATAGCATCAAATGTGATATATTGCATTATATAGGTTGTTTCAGAATTAATCGACCAAAATTGAAATTTGAAAAAAATTTGAGTGATCAAGATAAGAAAGAAAAGTCCTCAGAAATTTGACGCTACAGGGATTTTGTAATTTCGGTCACTTTCTGTGAGTCGTATTCCTAAGAAATCACATTACAGAAAACGTCTTCAGAGATGTTTCAGAAAATATTATTTCTTTTTCGTTTGCGGACAAACTTTTTTCTCATATCCGAATTCAAGTATTTTTGGCCAGTTAATCATGAAAGCCCTGTATATGTATCTTTTACCTAATTTCTGCTTCATCGTTGTCTACATAGTCAACACCCCATTTCAGTTTCAGAGTATTCTGCTTCCTATACCATAAATTTAGAAAAATCGTAGCTGTAAATTACAAAGAAATTAAAAATAATTTATATTTTTTAAATTGAAATAATAATTATACCACACATATAATTAGAAAAAATACAGTGATATTAATCCGATAGTATAATTTTTATTTTTTAAAAAGTTAAGTTCTAATTTTATTTTTTTGAAACCCGTTAACTTTTGTTATTAATTGCGTAACTAAAAATAACTTACACCAGAACGACATGAAGACTGCAAATGCTACCGTTAAATAATTATCGAATATAAAGTCCGCCTTTGCCGAGAAACAGAATTTGGACAGTTTTCTATACAAGCAATACTTGTTAAAGGCACACTCTGGGCATATATACATTTTATGCTCATTGCAGATATCATTTCTGAAAGAAACATTTTTAGTCTTCTTTAAACGCGTGTAAAATAATGTCAAATTCTAAAGGCAATAGAACATCAAAAAAAATATATATTCCGATCGTCCTTTGTTCAATATACATTACATTACAAAAAATAGTGTAGCGTCGTGACGATAGACCCATAGCTCATAGGAAAATCTTATTTTTTGATATTCTGTTGCGCTTATTCTGAAATACCCTGTGAAATACTAGATATAAAGAAATATACTTACATCTTAACAATGTTACTGCTAGCATAATAAATTATAAGATCGATAATGAACACTAACGATCCTAGAATGGAGGCATAGAGCAGCATCAAATTGAAAAATTCGACCCAGGCAAAATAGAACGCTATTTCACACCCAAAGTATTTGTACACCAAATCCAAAGGTACTTCTTTATACCAACACCTAAATCTTGCCCAATGCAGGTATAAAAGCTGAAACATTTGATATTTAAAACGTAAAGTTTAAGACGTTATTCTTCACTTACCCGTCTATCGTTTTGTCTCACACTGTCAGACCCATAATAAGCCGATCCATCATGAAGTGGATAAGCATCTTCTATAACGCGTTGTTTCAGTAGCTTTGATAGTCCGGTTTCTCCGGGTTCTGTCCCAAAACTGGCACGCTCTAACAATTGATTTATGATCAATATCCGGTCTCTGCTATTGAACGTGCTGGGAAAAAAATCAGACTGACTTTCAAAATTTCAACAATATAATGTTGGACATAAATAAAATTGCGCTATTAATACGATTTTTTAAAACAAATTTAAAAATTGCGTATTTGGCGACCGAGGAGAAAATGCACAAATTTTAAGGTAAAATTTCTCAGAAAAAAAAGTTGATATCCATAAATGCATCATTTCCAAGAATCAGATCTTCCCAAAATTTGATACAATTGCCAGTGCCATAATAATTGTAGGGAATTGACACCCCTTTCATAAAACGACTATGCCTGTGGCTTAAAAAAGTATGTAATAATATTTTGTACAGTTCCTAGAAAAACACATTAATTTTCTTCTACAGTAGGACCAGTTTTAGGTAAAAAGTGTTCCTTTAAAATTTGTGCACTATATTTGTACTAGCGTTTAGACAAATTATTCAGCAAATTACCTACTTATCTGGATTAGTTAAATAAGAGTTGTGCAATAAATTAAATCTCAAGCTCTCTACAAAGTCATGTTTACTTTGAAACGCACCATGTATATCTAACGCATTTAAAAAATATGAAAACAACAGTAATTACCCTCTTTTCTTAGGAGGAACTTTTAAATTTGTATTTATCCATTTGAAGCATCTAGACCTTTTAGTGTTATAAAATAGCGGCACTTCTAAGCCTATGTCGTAGATTTTCGAGTAGGTTTCCAATTGTTTTTGAGGGATATGAATTATCAAAAATAATTTACCTATTTCCTAAAAAGGGTAATGTGTCGATAGGCCTGTATTTACATAAAATCAACACGATACTACCGGTCTTCGATTTGCCTCTAGTTCAAGTCCGAGTTTTTCCAATGAGTCAACATAATTTGTTAAAGCTGTGGATCTGTCTTTTATCACGAGGGCGTAATCTGCTCTTCGTTTGTTGTCACTGAAAAAGCAACCATCCTCTTCTGCCATGAACACTATTTCTCAAGTGTAACGATTAGATATTCCATACAGTGACAAGCTTATGACAACGTCAAAAATGTCTAAATATTACGTATAAATGAGCTAAATCTAGTAATAGATCTTATACCTGTAGCATTGGTTATACAGGGTGTCCGGTAAGTACCTCCTAATCTCTCGGGAGTGTATAGGGGAGGTCAAAATAAAACTAGTTCTTCCTATAATTTTTTTTCCTAATGTGCCCCCTAACGGAGTTATGGGGGTCAAAGGGGTACCTAGAAATTAACGTTTAGGGTTATAACTTTGAAACCACCCTGTATATTTTAATAAAATTTCCATACGTTGTATTACACATGGAGCTCTACGATTTGATGCTAAAATCAACTTTTTGCTATTATCAGGTGTCCAGAAACGGACTGGCCCTATCACAATTTTTCTCAAAATTTTGACAGAAGTAATTTTATCAAACTGAAAATATTATTATTAGATACTCTGAAGGTTTTTCTTTAAAAATGGTACTCTTTATTTATTTCGAAAAAATGAACGGTTTGCGAGATAAATCGGTTTTGAAAAAAATTGGTAACAAATACAACAACAATTAAAATTTATTTTTTTACAATAAAATCATTCCCGCTAGTGCCAGCCTACAGATTCACCATAAACATTTACTGGTGGTGAATTAAGGGAATGAATAATGCCGTTTCTTGTAAAATCAACATCTATGACCAAAATACATCTACAAATTATTATTGCTCTTGTCTCCATGGAGTTCTTTTCTATTGTTTTCGTTGTTAGACCCTGTTGATTTTAAAGTACTTGTCAAAGGCGCGTGACAGAATAAAAATTCAATTTTATTGTGGTATTCGTTTTAAGCCGTTAGAAATAACATTTAAAAATGGAAGAATATTCCTGTGCAGAATATGCTGATATGCACCTAATTTATGGGGAAGCATTATGCAACTCCGTGGAGGCAAGAAGACTTTATGAGGAAAGGTTTCCGGGTCGACATTTGCCGAGTCCAAAAACTTTTGAAAGAGTTGATCGTAGTTTAAGAGAAACAGGTAAAAAAAAATAGTGAAAAACGTTAGTGAAACTAATTTCTTCCGAATCCTTTATTTAGGAAGCTTTTTGCCACGCCGTGGTGGAGCAGGAGCCCCGAGGAGAGTACGAGACCCTCATGTAGAGGAACAAATATTGGAAGACGTTGCTAATAATCCTTCAAATAGCATAAGGAAGCTTGCGGCGCAAAACAATGTTACAAAATGGGCTGTACATGAAACTCTGAAAGAACAATTGCTTTACCCGTACCACATCCAAAAAGTACATGCTATGTCTCCAGATGATTATCCAAAAAGACTTCAATACGCCAATTGGTTTTTACAGCATCATATTCGGAATCATAATTTTGGTACATCTATTTTGTTCACCGATGAAGCAGGTTTTACAAGAGACGGCATAATTAATTCGCATAATCTACATGTCTGGGATGAAGAAAACCCTCACGCTTTAGTTCAAACTCGCTACCAACAAAGGTTTATGGTGAATGTGTGGGCTGGCATTATCGGGAATCATTTGATTGGTCCATTTATTCTGGAGCAAAGACTTAATGGTGCTCTTTATTTGCAATTTTTAGAGGAAAATCTAAATATTTTGTTAGAAGAAGTGCCCCTTCAAATAAGAACTGAAATGTGGTACATGCATGACGGTGCACCACCCCACTTTGATCGTTTAGTACGTCAACATCTGACGAATGTTTTTGGTGATCGATGGATAGGTCGAGGCGGACCTGTATTATGGCCACCTAGGTCGCCCGACCTAAACCCATTAGACTTTTTTCTGTGGGGTCATTTAAAAAATAACGTTTATTCAACACCCGTAAATAGTAGAGAGGAACTTCTGCTGAGGCTAACACAGAACTGTGACCATCTCCGCAATAATCACGGAATATTATTTCAAGTGCACCGGGAAAACATTCGTAGGATTAGAAAGTGCATTGAAGTACGGGGTGCTCATTTTGAACATCTACCGAAGTAACATTTAGGTACCTTTGTTCATTGTTGAATGTTCTTTGTTGCATGTCTTGTAAGTAAGTTATTTTTCAAATGTTATTTTTAATTGGTCACTACTTGCTCATAAAGTATAGCCAACCCGTTCAAAGATTTCTGGACTTGATAAAGTTAAAGAAATTAAATGCATGAAATAATATGTAAAAAAAATAAATTTTAATTGTTGTATTTGTTACCAATTTTTTTCAAAACCGATTTATCTCGCAAACCGTTCATTTTTTCGAAATAAATAAAGAGTACCATTTTTAAAGAAAAACCTTCAGAGTATCTAATAATAATATTTTCAGTTTGATAAAATTACTTCTGTCAAAATTTTGAGAAAAATTGTGATAGGGCCAGTCCGTTTCTGGACACCTGATAATAGCAAAAAGTTGATTTTAGCATCAAATCGTAGAGCTCCATGTGTAATACAACGTACGAAAATTTTATTAAAATATACAGGGTGGTTTCAAAGTTATAACCCTAAACGTTAATTTCTAGGTACCCCTTTGACCCCCCATAACTCCGTTAGGGGGCACATTAGGAAAAAAAATTATAGGAAGGACTAGTTTTATTTTGACCTCCCCTATACACTCCCGAGAGATTAGGAGGTACTTACCGGACACCCTGTATAATATTGCTAGCATATTTTTGTATTTCTTTCAGTGCTCGATAAAGTAAAATTAATTTTGTAATGACAATGGGGTTTTTCTTTTCCAATATCTCCATATTAAAAATATAATACAATAATGAAACAATACAATAATAATAAAATAAAAAGAAAACAAGAAAGTAGTAGTAGTTGTCAGATAAAAAGGATTTACCTACCCGTAACAAGAAAAGTTTAATAGAAATTTTTTTTAAAAACATCAATGAAAGTTGAAATGATAGACCGATCAAAATAACTCATTTAGAGGGAAAAAAAAGAAAATTGTTACCTGGACTTTTATAAGTGGAAATGGTAAAGGGGATTATATTAAACGAAAAAAAAAAATAAATGCGTTAGCAGGGGCGGCGGAGGGTTGATTTGGGGAATGGAAAAGTTATGAAAAATTGCATCATTGGGATTTCTGGCGAAAGTTGACGTCAGACAAAAAAGTATCTAATACAAAAGTTGTAGATCATGCAAAAATCTACAACTTTGGTATGGGTCAATTTTTTAACATAAGCCCAAAGTTTCCGAGAAAATGCAAAAAACTGTTTTTTTTTCTGATTTTTCGATTTTTATTTCTTATTTCCGCAAAAATAATTTAATTTTGACGAAACTTGGTGAAAGTATACCTTTACCCGCCTTAAATAACCTCAATTTTTTTTTAGATAAAAAAATCAAGAATTCTGAAATATTAATTTTTTCGGCCTGAAACGCTTTTTTTCAAAGAAAAATTCTACTTAAAAAAATCATCGTACAGAGTTCTGCCGGTAATCATTTTTTTCGTTTTGACATACTTTTTGGTGAAATAAAAAAATTGTAATCACAGTTCAAAAACATGCTCAAAAATGCAAAAAAGTAAAAAATGACAATGAATTTTTCAGTAATTATTGTTGATAATTTGTTTAAATTAAAAAAAAAATCAAAAATCACTCAAAACTATTTTTGTACAGTATTGCTATAAACATAAGTCGAATAGTGAATAAATAAAATATTTTTTTTTCCGTAGGATCGATTAGTGTACTTATTTTTTTATAGTTTGATGAATTCATAGATATACAGTGTGTTCAAGATAAGGATGGTATAGCATTAGAATCTAGGAAACGGTAAGAGATACGGGGTGGGTCAGATTAGAAAAAAGTTGTGTTTTTTATACCTAACAATATACTTTTTAGAAAGTTTTAAAATTCCGGGTAGTTCCGGAGATATCCGGAAAAACCCGAAATTTTGCAAAATTGTTTAATTTTTTCTGGCTTTATTTGAAAACGAATTTTAAAATAAATTACATAGTTACAATGCCACTTTTTTCGCTATATACAGTGGCATCAACATTTTTGCAATCCGACGTTTCGTCTTCGAGGGGCCATCGGATTAATTTTTTTAAATACGTCGCTGCTATTTTTATGACAAAATCGAAAGTCATTTTTAATTCTGAATTAGAGGATATTACTATTGTAATCGCTTAAAAAGTTTTTATCTTGTTTTAGCTATAATTTAAAATTTCTCCGGAGTACGGCTCTGAACACTTTCAAAATATCTATTGGATGAAATCATAACAGTATAAAAGTCAATACCGCATAAAATATACAACAATTTTTTTACTACTATTAGCAATACTAATTAGAAATAATAACATATTTCATAAATTCGTATTTTTTTATTAGGTATCTACAACTTTTTAAATTATGCATTAAAAAAAATTGTTGGATATTTTGTGCTGTATTGACTTTTATTCTCTCCTCTCTCTCTCTTTCTCTCTCTCCTCCAATAGATACAGGTATTTTGAAAGCGTTCAGAGCCGTACTCAGGAAAAATTTTCAATGATAGCTAAAAATCTTTTTAATTAGAATAGCAATATCCAAAACAGAATTAAAAATGACTAGATTTTGTCATAATAATTGCAGCGATATATTTAAAAAAATTAATCTGATGATGGCACCTCGAAGACGAAACGTCGAATTGCAAAAATGTTGACGCCATTGGATAGAGCTAAAAAAGTGGCAATGTAAATATGCTATTTATTTAAAATTCGTTTTCAAATAAAGCCAGAAAAGAAAACTATTTTGCAAAACTTCGGGTTTTCGGATTTCGCGTCAACAGTAGATTTTGCAGTTAATACTTTGTATTGTTGAAATCTCCAATCATTCAGAGATAATTTATCATTTGTGCATTTGTAATTCGACTTAGATGTTTATAGCAATACTGTTCAAATATAAAGTTTTGGGTCAAACAATGAGACACAGTTTTTTTTCCGTAGAATTGAATGGTGTGATCAGTTTTTGAATGTTTTTTAATTTAAACAAATTATCAACAGTAGGTAACTGAAAAATTCATTGTTGCAAGTCATTTTTTAGCTTTTTGCATTTTTCAGCATGTTTTTTAACTGTTATTGCAGATTTTTTTATTTCTCCAAAAGTATATGTCAAAACGAAAAAAATAATTACCGGCAGAACTCTGTACGATAATTTATTTAAGTAGAATTTTTCTTTCAATAAAAAGTGTTTCAGGCCGAGAAAAATGAATATCTCAGAAACTTCTTGATTTTTTTATCTAAAAAAATTTAAGGTTATTTAAGACAGAAAAAGGTATAATTTCACCAAGTTTCGTCAAAATTAAGTTATTTTTGCGGAAATGAGAAATAAAAATGAAAAATCAGAAAATAAACCGTTTTTCGCATTTTTCTCGGAAATTTTGACGTTATGTTAAAAAGTAACTTCTACAAAAATTGTACATTTTTGCATGATTTACAACTTTTGTATGTGATACTTTTTTGTTGGTGTCAACTTTCGCCAGAAATCCCAATGATACAATTTTTCATAACTTTTCAACACCCCGAAACCAACCCTCCGCCGCCCCTGCTCACGCATTAATTTTTTTTAGGTTTATTACCTTTTACCATTTCCACTTATAAAAGTCTAGGTAACAATTTTTTTTTCTCCAAATGTAATTTGCTTGGACTTCCCCTTAAATATTCAATTATTTCTAAAATCAAGAATATCACTTAATATTTTTCTAGGTATATGAAATATATACTTTTAACATTTTTGTAATAAATAAATACTCGTCGTTATAAGAAAACTTGTCCCCGAATTTAGTCGTATTTAATGCGAGTAATATACAGGATGTTTATTAATTGAATGCCGATACTTAAGGGTGTGAATCCTTGGGTCATTTTGAGAAGAAAACTTAATATTAACATATGTCCTAAACCTCTTAATTTTTGAGCTACAGGGTGTTACAGTTTTAAGAAAAAATTTACTTTTTATTATAATTTTCTTATCACTCCAGATATTTTTATGAAATTTTGTACACACCTATTAATCATTAAGGAGCATTGTTTGATGTAAAAAATGTTTTAAAATCTTTCTAGCCTACTAATTTTTATTTCATTTGATTTAAGGGGGCATTTAATGAGCTTACCGTTTTTTCTGTCCAAACATTTAATATTATGCCTACGTGAACGTCATTTGTGAAAGTAGAAAATTAATTTTTGCCCCAGAAAAAGTGTTCCCACGCGTGGTGGGTGTCTACAAAATGGCAACAAAATATCAAGAGCAGTCTCAATGAACTTGGGGAAAAAACTTTTTTTGGTTTTCATTTTTTTACGTGTAAATGGTGCGTCGTACGAGAGTAAGACCAGGGACCGAATTTGCTGTAAAATAAATGGAGATTTTAAAAATAATTTTAGTTTTTAGAAAAAGCCATGGCGTACCATTTTTTTCTTCAAAAATGTTTAGTTCAAACAATTCAAATACACATAAAGATACGCTTTCACCTATTGTGTATATTTTGTTAAAGCCAATAATACATCTTGTATATGTGCAGATATTCCTTGCTTTTGATATTGATTTTTTTAAATTATATGACAAACATACTACTAAACGAATAAGAGTTTATTTTATACTACATATACCAAATGCAAACAAATATTGATCACATAATATCATCTGTAACACTAATTCTTCTTTGTGTAGGGTCATATTTCTTATCAAGAGCAGCCATTCTCGTTTCTTTCTTCTTTGTTTCCTCCATTGCAAGTCGTTCGGTGACGTGAGCTGGTACGTCAGGTATGGCGTATGCTATAATGCCATTGGTAACCATTACCACGTGCTGAAAATTATAATTTTCAAAAAGCGGGTGGACAAATGTATTGCTGATATAATCAAGAATGTAAAACTGTCATTCAGCTTAATTTTGATGTATCATATCTATTCAGTACACACGGTGGCCCATTTTAAATAACGCATTGCAATATCCAGGGAAGGACTTTCAAAAAATAACTTTTTAGACAAAAGTTGTGGGGTTCTGAGGGGGACATTCGATGGTTGCCTTGACCTTGGCGTAAAGGTCAACCGTACAGGTCATTTTTAAGGTCAACTTGGATTTTTAGATATGAAAGCGATCTTGCCTTGACTGGCTGGGCCATAACAATCTTGCTTTAACTTAATGGGGCTGCAAACAGGGTTTTCCTATTTCGTAACTTGATTACACCTTCAAAGAACCTTCAAGTTTGACCTGTAACCATCAAACCATAAAACTTTCAACTAGAATCTTTTGTCGTAAGTGCTTTCCCGAAAAAATCGCAAAACCCAATCAAAAACCTAATCCAACCGAAAAAAAACCCTTAAGAACAATTTTACCCACAACATAAAGATATATATGAATGTCAAATTTTCTTCTCTATCCATTTCCGGTGTCAGAAATATATCTATCTAAAAATCCAAGTTGACCTTCAAATTATCTCTACGGTTGACCTTTATGATAAGGTCACCATAGAATGTCCACCTCAGAACGCTACAACCTTTAAAAAAAAATTCTTGAAAGTGCTTCTCTAAGAAGATATTACAATGCGTTGTTTAAAATGGGACATCGTGTATACTAAATATCAAAATTAACTGCTGTAAATAGTGAAATCGAAAAGAAACTTAAAATACTAAGCAAAGACTAAGTAAAAATAAATTTTCATCGTATACAAAAGCAGATTATTAAGGATGCAACTAAAATGCTTGCCTTATTGCTGGAGTAGTATGGAAATGCTATTACAGAAAATTTCTTATTTAAGTCGCCCTTCTGTCTCTCTCTTAAATTAAAAGATAAAAAGAGGATAGTGGTATCTATTTTGTCACGTCACGTCACGATTGTCCACAATATTCATTTCACTTTACTATATGTATACAGGGTGATTCAGTCATAATGTCATTAATTTTAAGCACGTATTCGGAAGGCCTAATAAAGACAGAAACTCGGAAAAAAAATTATTCTACTTTAAAAATGAAGGAAATGCCCGGATGTTCGGAAAATTTTGTTACGTAATGTCACGAACCAGTCGTCAGCTGAAGTGAACAGGGTTGCCACGTCCACATCATAATCTGTAGTTCACATTTACTTTGGGTTCCGCGTTAAACGTATCCACATAATCCGCTTTAGTATATATAAGTACGAAACCAATAAAATGTAAGTAAATTTTAGAGGAGCATGATGCATTTTATTATAAACAAGTTTAACAATTGTATTAACATAGTGCAAAATGTTTTAACAAGCCTGACTTCTCGAAGTCAACTGTTGTTAAAAGAAAATAAATAAAGTAGAGGTAGGTAGTTACCTGTTAATAGGCACACTGTATTTTATCAAATAAAAAAAGTCGGCACATTAAATATCCGAACATACAAAATAAACTACACACGGTTACAAAACCATTAACAATTTAAAGGGTTTATTCAAATCTACCACCCTCCATATCTAACACATTTTTTCCGCAAAGGAGTGAAGATCACACCATACAGATGGAGAGGGAATGTGGATTGGAAAGACACACGAAACCGTTAGTACTTGTTCTTATCTATGACCGTTAGTTTATTTCGGATTATTTAAAGTGTCGGTCGTGATGGCTTTGTATACGTATGCCGAATATATGGATATGGTGAAATGCCGCTACAATTGAATATCTGAGACGTTTCCGTGGTAGACAGAACTTCTCAAGCCCACGGACAATTGTGCAGGCCGTCCAACGTCTTCGTGACACGGGGTCTATCATACCGCGCAGAGAACGTGCAGGACATCGACAAAATGACTTAAATGTGATAGAGGCTGTTTTAAATTTAGTCGAGGAGCAGCCTACTATATCCACAAGAAAAATTTCAAGGCGATTGGAGATATCACAAACCAAAGTTTGGCGGATATTGCGCGAGAATTCACTCAACCCGTACCATTTTCAAAAAGTTCAAGCTTTAGAACCAGCCGATTTCCCCAATCGTCTTGAATTTTGCAATTGGTTCCTAAACTAACTTTATTAACAAAGTGCTCTGGGCGGGTGTATGCTGTTTTACTCGTGCTGGCATTTTAAACAGGTAAAACACTTATTGCTTTCTCAAAAACAATAAGTGCCTAGGATTAAAGTTTACATTTATCATCATGTTTATCATCAATATTAATGAATAAATAACATTTATCGAGACAAAAAAAAGGACGAAGGAATCAGTTCACATCTGGCACCCTTGTTCCTACAAAAATTACTTTATTCTCGTAAACTATTCATTTTAAATGTAATTTATTAAAAATCCAATTTGTTTTTTAAATTCCACATATGTACTACATTTTATCTTTGTACGCGCCACTGTTGTTAACTTGTTTTTTGGAGGCGCTCTCTGTTTTACGACTAAGCTCGCCAGGTTAGTATTTGACGTATAACAGACCTCCTCGTACACTCGATGCACCTGGGCGACTACAGTTACCACCAGAACACAGTGCGTATGCAGCGGTATTTCAGATTTTACATTCAATTTCATTTTAAATTTACGCCTCCTAAAAGTGATGACACGATTTTCCTTTGATAATAATTGACCGACAACTTTTTGCTCATTTTGCGTCGAATACGATCCTACTACAGTCATATAGTGCACGTGCAAGTCAAAAGTGGGTTAGAAGGTTAGTGATCTGGACAGGTTAGCCTCGGTCGGAAACACGTACCGAGTTGTTTATTTGTCTCCGTCCGATTGTTTTTTTTATGGAATATACAAGTCTCTCTTCTATTACTTACAGTCAATATTTAAATACTACATACATTTCACCCTCTCTTTATAATTTATCTAGTGAGTGTAGGTTTTTTATGTCATTATTTCTGTAATGAAATTGAAATGGTTTTGAAATGAAATTTAAATTATTTGAACTTGTGGAGTTTTGTAACTTCATATGGAGTTATATGAAATTTGTCGTGTATCACACCGAGGTAGAGAATGTAGAGCAGTTGCGGAATCGTATCGAAGATGCCGCTGAGGAATACGTAACAACCCTGATTTATTCCATCGCATCCGCCGCTCATCTATCCAACGTGAACTTGTGCATAGACGGTAACGGTAATGTATTTGAACATTTGCTGTAAGCCCGAAGGCTTACAGCAAATTAAAAAATTAACATTATGATGTTAATAAAAACTGATTTTTGGCAAGGCATGCTCAGGCCTCCTCAAAGTTCTTGCTGGACAGCAATAACAATTTAATATGTTGATTGCATAATTATAAAAAATAATTTATAGCATTTTAAATTATTATTGGCTGACACGAGCAAACCGTTTATTTATTGTCTTTATATGTGCGAAAATATGGCAACGTTACTTCTAGGGCGCCTTGTTCATGTCGTAGCCGTGCGCAATATTGTAAATAACCGGCTGACGTCAGCCGGTCAGTAACAGCCTGAAATGGTGGTTAAATAATGATTTCAAAATATTTTTCTTCAGCTTACGCCTTCGTATTATACTCATTTTTCTCTATCTCGTCTTAAAATTAATGACATTATGACTGAATCACCCTGTATATTTTTAAATTGCCAGTTAAATAATAACACAGACCCACAAAAAAAAGTGTTCGGACTTGTGGGTCGGACATATGTATTCCCATGTAGGGGCCGGAGAATCGTGTTTCTGCCCCTAAGGGGCCATTTTCCCGGTCGCAAACGGGGAATTCCAGTTGGCCATGAACTTTTCGAGCACAGTCTGAGTTCCAGAATTTAAAAGTACATAAAAATACCACTGTTGTGATTGTGCCGTCCGAAACACGATTTGTCGGCCCCTAAGGGGTCATTTTCTCGGTCCCAAACGGGGAATTTCAGTTGGCCATAAACTTTTCGACCACAAATTCGGCTTTGGCTTTAGAATGCACCTTCGACCTCGCCATATTCCGGAATCCATCTTTCAGGCTCTATGGAGGCCATTTTTGGCCCCTGGAGCCAATTCCAGACGTGGAGGGCCATTTCTGAGCTCGGGATCGGATTCAGCGTCGAAAAATACATGGGAATGCATATGTCCGACTCACAAGTCCGAACACTTTTTTTTTGTGGGGCTGTGTAATCAGTTATAATATCACAAGTGCATAGAAAATATTCGATTATACTTCCGAGTCACAAGACATATTCTGCGAAACACCACGACAGCGTAGCTGGAGTGGTGTTTTAAGGATATACGGCAAGTAAGGAGGTTAGTATAATCGAATATTTTCGTTTGCTCGAGTGGTATTCGATACGATTATACAGGGTGTATCTTAAGTAATGACTTTAATTTCAAGGGGTGATTCCTTCTCTTATTTTAAGCAAAAAAGTGCATATGAACATCGGTCCGCAAGTGCTTCGTTACCGAGATATAGGGTGTCAAAGTTGGGAAAATAAATCGCATTTTCTTAAATATCTTTCGACTTATTCGAAATAATTTAATGAAATTTCATACACGGGGGTTTTTTGGAATGACAAATTCAAAGCAGTGGTCAATTTAGGTGTATTTTTTTGAGGGCGCCACCGGCAACGATTTCGGCCTCTTTAATCCATCGCAACTTTTTTCTGCTACCCTGTATGCCATTTTGGACTAGAATAATCGATTCTCCTACCTTATCTGCTTAAAAAAGATTTTAAAGAAATGTTTTTTTGTTGAATACAAAAATTCCTGTGATAACAAAATTCCGATGATATTTGGCATTAAAAGTGACAAGATACTGTCAGTTGACTATCTTTTAGTGTGCAGTTAACTATGAATAACGTTGAACAAGCTCAAATACATTTCATTTATGGGCTAGCAGATGGAAATGCTGCACAAGCCCGTCGAATTTACCAGGAACGATTTCCCAATAGACCACTTCCATCAGAAAGAACTTTCATAAGGCTCCATGCTAGACTGTGCGAAACTGGATCTTTAAATGCTCACGCTGAACGTATTGGTAGACCGAGAACAATAATGACACCACAACTAGAAGAAGCAATCCTACAAGAAGTGGAAGCTAATCCGTCAAGTAGTACGCGAAGATTATCTGAACAGTTTAACATAAGTCATCAAAGTGTTTGGAGGGTTTTGCACACAAATTTACTTTATCCGTACCACATTCAACGCGTGCAACCACTGTTGCCAAGAGATTTTCCTGCACGGTTAGATTATTGTCGATGGTTTCTCCAAAAAACTG